TTTTTTTTTTTTTTTTTTTTTTTTTTTTTTTTTTTGCTCAGTTTTGATTTGGGGATTGGGGAAAATGCCAATTCTTTGGTCAATCCACCCCTTCCCCCTCCATTATTTCATCTTTATAGCTTTCTTAGATTTTGCTTTAATAATTCATGAGGCACTGACTAAGACGATTGATCTTAGCAAAGTAAATGGCTTGATATCATAAGGTCCAGACTTAAAAAAGATCCTTAAAGATCAACCATTATCCCTTAGTTTTTAAAGTTCTTGAGCTGCCTTCTCACGACCCTAAAATGAATCTCACAAGAACTGTTTGGTTTAAGGTTTTGTTTATGATGTCTGAAAATAAGAAGTCTTAGAATTAGATGTGTGTGTGTTGAGGGGCCATTTGGTTTAAAGTTTTATTTATGATGTTTAAGAATAAGAAGTCTTAAAATTAGATGTCATCTCACACCTCCCAAGATACACACATATATTTCAATTTATTATCATTTATCTTCTATTTCTTCTTCGAACTCCTTTGTGAACCATTTGGAATCTCCAAAAGTCACGTTCGAATGAAACCAAACATTTCTTACAACTCCTCTCTTGATGGGATTGATGAACTTTTTACTGTTAAACATTGTAAAGCGGTGATCATCATGTTTGGTTCCGTTCTATAAACATAGAAAGATCTTGAAATTTGAGAAATGTAGTTGCTACTAAACTCTTTTGATACATGGATAAACTAAAAGTTTCGAAACTTTTCTTACCTTCAAAAGTATGAAACTGTCAATCACATTGTCTAAACTTTCCCGAATATTTTTCGAGGTTTAAAACTTCAAATCAATTACCACGAAAAAAACTAACGGAGTGAAAGTGTTGAGTCAATAAAAACTTGAGAAATCTCACTTTGCTGATTTGTTTGATTGTGCTTTTGTGTTGGATCAACCACTACTTGTTACACAGATCCAATACCTTCATCTTTTATATATATATATATAATCTATCTGTGTAGGAATCCATATCCAATCTGGAATCCATTAGAATCAAATACTTTTATAGATAATGGGGTCTTTTTTTGGTTCATGGACCCATCGGTAGGAAATGTAAATCTGATATGTTTTGCTCTATGATTTAACCTCTTACTCATGTCAGACACCATTTTCTCTCTCTAAATCAAGAGAGATAGTAGTGGATAAGTTATGGTTTTTAGTGAGCTTCAAATTCTATTACATATGCCATTCTCTCTCTCTTTCTCTGTATATCTATCTTGTTAATGGCTGTATTTTCTCTCTCTAGAAAGATTTGCAGGCTTTGGTTGGTGGAAGATGAGCAATGAAATTCAGATTCCACAATTATGTGGAAGAGTTAGATAATGGTTTGATTCTTTGGAGTAATTCTTGTACTTCTCAGGTTATTCCGTAAATAGAATATAATTCTGATCAATCTATGACATTTCTTAATCTATATATACACATACATATATGTATGTATGTATATTCCTATGGCTTCTATATCTTTAATTATTTGGGTTACTTCTGCAATTCTGGGTTGAAAGTCCTTTTCATCCTTAAATTCTATCATTTGAAATCTATACACCTAATAATGTCGTGAGAATGAATTGACTGTTGTATGGTTGATTGACGATCATTAGGGATTCTGACTTCATACAGGTGAGTTGTAGCCTACCATCTGAATTGAGGACGGATTTTTGTCCAGACCATTGTAGCACGTGTGTTGTCAAGAATAAGGAGCATGATGACTTGACATCATCCTCACCTTCTTCCGATTTTTCACTTGTAGTCTACTCGGGTATTGATTGGTATTTTAACTTAGAATTTTTTATTAAAAAAATTAATTAGCATTAAGGAAAAAAATGGTTATTTACTAAAGAAGACTTGTGAGTAATCAACTTCAATCCAATGAAGACAAAATTTAAAAGTTTAAATTAACCAACTTTATTAGAATCTTTTAATTGAAAAAATAGAGAATTTCTTTTAAATTAAATTTATAAAGAATTATTTGGCTTAATAAAAAACCAATAAATACTAACCACAATAAAAATGCAATAAATTCCCATAAATATAATCCTGTCACACAGAATAAACACCAAAAGCAGCCACTTCTCTCCCTCTTTACTTTATAAAACTTTAATTAACATTCAAATCTGTTTATTTAAAAATGTCAAAAAAAGTGCTTTTATAATTAACTATTGACTTAATTACAATTAAATTTTAAAGTCTTCTTTATTTTATTTATTTTATTTATTTTCTTTTTCTTTCCATTTCCTTTTCATCATAGTAGCTAAAGGCGTTCAATTATGAACTTTTATTATAATTATATATTTTTTAGGCTGAAAATTTAAAAAAAAAAAAAAATTAAAACACTCAGGCTTTAAAATTTTCTCAAATTTTTCTGTCAATTATTTTCTTTAAAGTTTAAAACTGCCACTTAATTTTGAATTAGTACAGGTGTCCACTCAACCTTTTAAAGTTTGGACTTGCCCTATTCAATCATATTTGGATCTGACTCTTTGATTCGGTCCAATAAACTTATCATTAGACCAATTCGAATATGTGTATACCTATAACTTTTTATATATTATATTCTTTATATGAAAAAAAGTAAACTATGACTCAGTAAAAAAAAAAAAAAAAAAAAAAAAAGAGGAAATATGACCAAGTACAATTGTACACTATAAAAAAAAATTGGACATTTCGCTAAGACAAATTTGTAACGACCAAATATGATCGCACACCACATCTACACAATGCGCACAATCAGGCTCCGTATAATTGTTGTATACAATGATAGGCCACAATCAATTGCACCATTGTATTATGATAGGTCACAATCAAGCTCCGTGTGATTGTCGTATTTTTGTTATATCTTCCTTGATATAAAGTTGCTCTAGTTAAGTATTTTTTTTATGCTGGAAGTAAAAATAATCTATTTAAACTTAGAAAAGTCCTAACTTTAGCTCAATTGGCTAAATTAAATTTATTTCGTGTAACTTTTCTAGATTGATCCTTTGTTCAACCCTTTCACCTAAAAATATTTGCAAATAATGATTGACAAAGAAAAATGAAGATGTTTAAGATGGATCATCAATACTCAATTCATGGTGAGATGAGATCGAAAATGGAAACGAAAAAAAACATAGAAAAGAGACGAAGAAAATAGAGATAGAGAGGAAATAATTTTAAGCATTTGATGTATATTTTAGCTCACAATCACAAACAAAATATTCCATTTGGCACTCTCTCTCTCTCACACACAATTTTATTTTAATCCAAACGATTTTTTTTTTTTTTTTTTTTAATTTCAACATGATTTTTTACAGCAGTTTTGTAAAATCAAAATATATAAATCCCTAGAATAAATAAAATAATGTTATTTATATCATATAAAATTTAAATTAATTTCCTTACAAAAATTTAGACATTAAATGTGAATACACTGTGCACTATTGATATCAGCCACCGCAATCTCAAATTGCAACAATTATTTTCAAAGTTACCACAATCTCAAACTAGGTCTTGGTCCATTTAAGCTCTAACACAAGCTAAGGGTACCGCATATTCGCTGACAATGGTTGTCATATGACCCGAGTCGAGACAGTTTTGATAAAGCAAAGACATCCTAACATGCACATGCTAAGATATCTTGGTCGAGACATGATCTAATAGTGACATGCTCAAAAGTGTTCCTAATACTTATTTTTAAAAAGAGATTCATATTCCAAAAGAGATTCATATTCAAGGAATAAAGAAAAAGATAGCAAATGTGTCAAAAAGTTCTATTAAAAATCTCAACATCGTACATCCCGACTTCACATTAGAGGTATTTCTAGTTAGAAACATCGATTCAAATTTATTATAATAAAACTATAATTTTAGTCCTCACTGTCCATACTAATAAAGTTTGATATTTAATTACAAGTTGAATAATGATCAACAAGAGCAAAAATCAATACATTTACAGACATATAAGAACTAAAATGAAACAAAAGTACCACAAAGACATCAGAAACAGCAAAAGAGTATGCAAACTAAGTCATTAAAATAGCCCAAGTATAATTACTATTACTGAGTACAGTGATATGAAATTTCTGCACAGTTTTCCTGTACTTAATAAGTTCATGATATGTAATTACCAAATGATAATGTTTTAGGGATTCAGCAATCCATTATGAAGATGGCATTGATCCGATCCTTAAACGAATAAGAACAAAGCAATTTATATAAGCAACAAAACATCATGATTGATTTGTGCATATGGGAAGAACTTAACCGGGTCCAGACAATTTATGCAGTGATTCCAGGCTATTCCAAAACGAGAAAGTGGGGGTGGGGTCAAGGGAAAACATGGATGTTATGCAATTGCAAGCAAGGGAAGGAAATTTTCTATGGAATTAGAAGAGATGGGACTTTAAATGGCACCTGGTGTGGTGATGTGGACCACTTCCATTTGCCGGCAATCATATGAGCTCGCTCATTTTATCCCATTTAGGCAAAGCTGCGAAAACAAACTTAAGCACAAGTATTGAACAAGGTGGCTAAAACATATCAATATCTGACCAAGAGAGAGAGAGAAGAGAGGACAATCAATGCAGCAGAGATCATATTTAGTTCGGGCTTACTCGAGGTGTGTTTCTCACCAAGTGATCCAACAGATAATCACACCATAAAGAACGCCTTTCATTTCAATTTCCAAATATGGCTGCTATTTCTTTTCCACGCCGGATCAAATAAGTTTCAATGAAGAACGAGGTAAAGAGTGTTTGTAAAAAATCAACTAATATATAATTAATTTCTCAAATAAGGATATCTGTCTGTTGTCATTCACACTCAGATTAGCACTAGTTGGGAAAAAAAATGATAATGAGAACTGATACAGGCAGCAGTGACATAGTTGTAACAGGACCGATCGATAGTTTCCACAAATGGTTCCTTAAGAGTGTACCGTAAGATCCCATCAACGCATCTTGCTTAAGAACCACAGCATGTCGATTTTTGAGCAGCTTGTGCAGCCCCTGCCCCCTGATCTGCTTGATTAATCTTGATTGTCTGAGGCTGCAACATCCAAAAGTAGAACTAAATGTACTGTGCAAGCTTAAGTAATCATAAGGCACAACAAACTCATAAAAGTATCAGATGAAAGCAAAGTAATAACAATTTGTTAAAATATAAGAAAAATTGGCGGTTTCCAAGACAAATGAAACTCGATATCATAAGAAAGCTAAGTAAAAAGTAAAGCAACTAGCGTGATACCTTTTTTATATGTGGAAAACAATAATTAAACTAGTAGGATACTTTAGATTTTACATAAAATTAGGTGTTGAATATCTCAATTACTTTTCATTAGGCAAAAGATGTGAGATCCCACGTCACGTCGGTGGGAGAGGGAAACGAAGCATTCCTTATAAGTATGTGAAAACCTCTCCCTAACAGACGCGTTTTAAAACTGTGAGGGTTAACGGCGATACGTAATGGGCAAAAGCGAACGGTATCTGCTAGCGGTGGGCTTCGGCTATCACAAATGGTATCAAAGAGACACCAGGCAGTGTGCCAGCGAGGACGTTGGGCCCTCAAGGGGGGTAAATTGTGAGATCTCACATCGGCTGGAGAGAGAAACGGAGCATTCCTTATAAGGGTGTAAAAAACGTCTTCCTAACAGACGTATTTTAAAATCGTGAGACTGACAATGATAATGTAAGATATGTAACAGGCAAAAGCGGACAATATCTACTAGCAGTGTGCTTAGGCTATTACAAAAGATATATATATATATTTAGATTAGGCGACTACAATCATCTCCAAGTACTTTTAGATGAACAAGTTTCTTGTAATTTTTTCTCATTTAAGTTGAGGACTCTCCGAACACCTCCTCCAAAACCTTTTTTTGAATGAGAACCTCCTTGAAAGCTTTAAGCAACTTTTTTTCCGCATTATTATGAATTTGTAATTAAAAAATTTAAAAAAAAAAATCAACAAACACTGTTGAACAATAATTTTAACTTCGTTTAAGCAAAAGGATTGGTAAAGAAGTATACTTGCGAATTTAGCCAACCTAGTAATTTAAATGACCATACCTCGGATTTTGAATCAGTATCAGCGAGTCTTTGTTTAATGTCCCTAGCTATTGAGAAGAAAACTTCTTCCACATTTAAGTTTGTCTTGGCACTCTGTAAAACATAAGATCTTTAGAATAGAATGTCCACAAGATATTATATAATAATTTTCCAAGCTAACAAATGTAACATACTGTCTCAAAGAACTTGATGCCATATTCATCTGCAAGAGCTTGACCCTTCGAGGTGGGGACAGCCTGAAAGAATGTTCTTGTCAAAAACATGTCAATTGACATGGAAAACACAGGCAGGAAGACAGAGAGAGCGAGAGAGAGAGAGAGAGAGAGAGAAGGCATACCCTTTTGCTCTCATCCATGTCAGCCTTGTTACCCACCNATTGATCCGATCCTTAAACGAATAAGAACAAAGCAATTTATATAAGCAACAAAACATCATGATTGATTTGTGCATATGGGAAGAACTTAACCGGGTCCAGACAATTTATGCAGTGATTCCAGGCTATTCCAAAACGAGAAAGTGGGGGTGGGGTCAAGGGAAAACATGGATGTTATGCAATTGCAAGCAAGGGAAGGAAATTTTCTATGGAATTAGAAGAGATGGGACTTTAAATGGCACCTGGTGTGGTGATGTGGACCACTTCCATTTGCCGGCAATCATATGAGCTCGCTCATTTTATCCCATTTAGGCAAAGCTGCGAAAACAAACTTAAGCACAAGTATTGAACAAGGTGGCTAAAACATATCAATATCTGACCAAGAGAGAGAGAGAAGAGAGGACAATCAATGCAGCAGAGATCATATTTAGTTCGGGCTTACTCGAGGTGTGTTTCTCACCAAGTGATCCAACAGATAATCACACCATAAAGAACGCCTTTCATTTCAATTTCCAAATATGGCTGCTATTTCTTTTCCACGCCGGATCAAATAAGTTTCAATGAAGAACGAGGTAAAGAGTGTTTGTAAAAAATCAACTAATATATAATTAATTTCTCAAATAAGGATATCTGTCTGTTGTCATTCACACTCAGATTAGCACTAGTTGGGAAAAAAAATGATAATGAGAACTGATACAGGCAGCAGTGACATAGTTGTAACAGGACCGATCGATAGTTTCCACAAATGGTTCCTTAAGAGTGTACCGTAAGATCCCATCAACGCATCTTGCTTAAGAACCACAGCATGTCGATTTTTGAGCAGCTTGTGCAGCCCCTGCCCCCTGATCTGCTTGATTAATCTTGATTGTCTGAGGCTGCAACATCCAAAAGTAGAACTAAATGTACTGTGCAAGCTTAAGTAATCATAAGGCACAACAAACTCATAAAAGTATCAGATGAAAGCAAAGTAATAACAATTTGTTAAAATATAAGAAAAATTGGCGGTTTCCAAGACAAATGAAACTCGATATCATAAGAAAGCTAAGTAAAAAGTAAAGCAACTAGCGTGATACCTTTTTTATATGTGGAAAACAATAATTAAACTAGTAGGATACTTTAGATTTTACATAAAATTAGGTGTTGAATATCTCAATTACTTTTCATTAGGCAAAAGATGTGAGATCCCACGTCACGTCGGTGGGAGAGGGAAACGAAGCATTCCTTATAAGTATGTGAAAACCTCTCCCTAACAGACGCGTTTTAAAACTGTGAGGGTTAACGGCGATACGTAATGGGCAAAAGCGAACGGTATCTGCTAGCGGTGGGCTTCGGCTATCACAAATGGTATCAAAGAGACACCAGGCAGTGTGCCAGCGAGGACGTTGGGCCCTCAAGGGGGGTAAATTGTGAGATCTCACATCGGCTGGAGAGAGAAACGGAGCATTCCTTATAAGGGTGTAAAAAACGTCTTCCTAACAGACGTATTTTAAAATCGTGAGACTGACAATGATAATGTAAGATATGTAACAGGCAAAAGCGGACAATATCTACTAGCAGTGTGCTTAGGCTATTACAAAAGATATATATATATATTTAGATTAGGCGACTACAATCATCTCCAAGTACTTTTAGATGAACAAGTTTCTTGTAATTTTTTCTCATTTAAGTTGAGGACTCTCCGAACACCTCCTCCAAAACCTTTTTTTGAATGAGAACCTCCTTGAAAGCTTTAAGCAACTTTTTTTCCGCATTATTATGAATTTGTAATTAAAAAATTTAAAAAAAAAAATCAACAAACACTGTTGAACAATAATTTTAACTTCGTTTAAGCAAAAGGATTGGTAAAGAAGTATACTTGCGAATTTAGCCAACCTAGTAATTTAAATGACCATACCTCGGATTTTGAATCAGTATCAGCGAGTCTTTGTTTAATGTCCCTAGCTATTGAGAAGAAAACTTCTTCCACATTTAAGTTTGTCTTGGCACTCTGTAAAACATAAGATCTTTAGAATAGAATGTCCACAAGATATTATATAATAATTTTCCAAGCTAACAAATGTAACATACTGTCTCAAAGAACTTGATGCCATATTCATCTGCAAGAGCTTGACCCTTCGAGGTGGGGACAGCCTGAAAGAATGTTCTTGTCAAAAACATGTCAATTGACATGGAAAACACAGGCAGGAAGACAGAGAGAGCGAGAGAGAGAGAGAGAGAGAGAGAAGGCATACCCTTTTGCTCTCATCCATGTCAGCCTTGTTACCCACCAGTATTTTGTTAACATTGTCAGAAGCATGTTGTTCAATGTTACGAATCCAGTTTCTAATGTCTGCAGAAAGAAATCAGCTCAGTTCATAAAGCTTGGAGAAGCTTAGAAGATTTATCGTCTACAGAAGTTTAATCTCCAAAATATAACTCCAATACAAATACATACAGTGGCACTGAGAAAAGCATTTCGATCTTTTCAAATATCATGGTGAAGGCCAAAGGGATACAGGGAATTAGAGACTCGCAAAGATATAGTCACTAAACCACAATAACATCTGAAGCTAAAAGATAAGGAAAGAATATTACTGTTAAAGGAGGACTCATCAGTTACATCGTACACAAGCAAAATACCCATGGCTCCACGATAATAAGCTGCAAAGGATCAAGAAGTGAAGAAATAGTTAAACTTGGGGAAGAATCCAAAAATTGACCATACATTGTATGGATGGATTAATCTTTACCCAAAAGTTGCAAAAATGTAGCAACCAAGTCATATCACTATAAATCTAAAAGTGGAAGCTCATCAAATGCACAAAATCATCACCGCAAAGTTAAATCCTTGAACTTATAATTATAGCAACTATGTTCCCTCAAGTTTATATTCAAGAAAATTTTAAAACTTAAATATTAATTATGTAAATATTATTTTAAATTTTAGAACTAAAATATCATTGATAATTGGACAACAACCTAAATCATATATAATGTGCAATATATACTTGAAAATAATTGTTAATTTTACCACAACGAAAAGAAAATTGTAACAATAAAATATAGTTGATTAACTAATTAACCAAGGTCCCATTCATTTTTTGGGTTGGCTCTAGCAAAGAGTGTGGTTTACAGAATTGGCATCAATCATCAAAGAGTGGGCAATAGAGATAAAGTAGGGCAGCCGTCCCACAACGCTCATATTGAGCAGACTTCTCAGCCGCTCAAATCAAGAAAAATAATTGTACTTGAACCATTGAATTGGACTCTTACATGGACTAAGAAGACTGCTTGAGATAAGGCAATGGTTACATTATGCGATTTGAGTAAAAAATATTGGACCAAGGCAAGAGACATGCTATCAATGTTAAAGATGAGGTGACACCAATATAACAATCTATAATTCAGTGGTGGTTTTGCAGTTTTCTCTTAAACTTTAAAATGCAAGTGTTCATCTATTATTTCGAGGAAAATATAAATCAAATATTTTTTTGAACTTTTTTCTTCTTTTTCCTTTGGTAAGAAATCAAACTTTCATTGAGAAAAATGAAAGAATATTTAAGTTCATGAGACAATGGGATATTGAAAACTAAAATTTGATAGACAACAACGAGGCAAGGTCTCAACATGCTAACTAATTAAAATACCTAATAAGAAAGGATCCAGATTCAAGGGGTTTTCCCAAACAATTCAATTGGAGTGGGAATTTGAACCCTAAATCTGTAGGGGAGGTTTCTAATAACTAGACTGATTGAGCTACATAGTAGGTACAACAACAATAGATTTATTAAGTTTGATCCTATAAACTTAGATATACCAAACACTGACGAAAGATATTGAGATCTTTTATTCCAACCTAAGACAATTTTTAAAGAAAATATACACATTCCTAGGTCACTACCCCAATAACATCAGCCACCCAGTGCACATCACAACAACAGCACAAGATAATGAATTTAGCTTTCAGTTCTGACACTAACCAGTTGTAATTGTTCTAAACCGCTCCTGTCCAGCAGTATCCCAAATTTGCAACTTGATCCTTTTTCCATCCAGCTCTATGGTCCTTATCTTAAAATCAATGCTGTCGAAGAACGTTCAGCCTACTCAAATCAAGAACAATGTGGGAAAACCACGTACAAATAAAAGTTGTAGTTCAACAAGCACCTACCCAATGGTTGTGATGAAACTTGTAGTAAATGAACCATCCGAGAAACGCAAAAGAAGGCAACTCTTCCCCACACCTACAAAGTTTATATAAGACATAACATGAAGAAAGACTCCATTCCAGACTTAAACATCAAAACTCGACACACATGGTGCTCTCAAAAAGAAATGGAAGCACGATGCAGATTCAAAAATATTAAAGCAGCATCATCACAGACCACCTTACATTATCAAACAAATTACGACATATTCTACATGTAATCTCACAGTAGCTATCTTATACAGAGACAAGGTCCCTAACGAAGCCATAGAAAAATCCAGCAAAATACGAAGTCAACAAGAAATAAATACCACGCATTCCAAGAAATGGCAGGCTCAACCAAGTTCTAGTGCGCAGATTCCACCCTACATCTAAAAATCTAATCACAATGGAAATGTATAAAAAAAAAAAAAACATAAATAACACAATTTGCAAGCCAAACTCGCAAAAACTAGCTCGAGGTATGATTAGGAACAACGAAATCAGGAAGATCAAATAGGAAATCTAAAAAAAATGAAGAAAACGGAGAAAGAAATGGATTGATGAGGTGAAAGAGTGAAGAATTCACATACCACTATCACCGATCAGGAGGAGCTTTATGAGATAATCATAATCGGCTCGGGCCCTTGCAGGAGGAGCAGCCATCGATGGAAACAAAATCGGAAAGGGAGACTAGAAAACAAACCCTAGAGAGAAATAGTAGAACAACAAAAGTGAAAGATCACAAACCAGGAAACAAATCTAAGAACAGAAACCAAACAGAAAATTGATTTCGTTTTGTTTATATAATTTTTCCTTTTTTTGAAATTAAAATTA